GTCACCTCGGTCCATTTCTCAGTAAGGACCACAGCTCACTTCCAGAGAACTTCAAAGCCCACCAAGGGCTTTACACGTTACGTAAGCATCGCTCAACACAGAACAGCAGCTTTATCTCGCAGCTCAGAACTTCCGCTGGGGGGACTAACATATTTAAAAGGTGCACCACAGTGTCTGCCCTTGTGACTGAAGTAAGGCCAACGGAAGAGAAGAAGGAACAAAAAGAGCCCAAGTACAGTACTTGGGCTGAGAGGAGCCGGCTGGGGGCGGTCAGAGGAGGGAGCTTCTGGATTCCACTTCATCCACAGGGATTTCTCGACGGGGTCGAGCACAGAGCTGGAGGACTTCCTGTGGATAAAGCCATGGACTTGGACCAGACTCCGGCGAGACCCGCCTGTCATCAACTCCACTTCACAGAGGCAACTGCAACTGTGCCCGTTCTCTGTGCGCCTGCCCCCAGAGCTGACCCCTGTGACCGTCCGACGCCTGACCTCCTGACAAGCTCTTTGGACATGGGAGGGGGGGGGGGCAGCTCCCCAGACGGGCAAGGCTTTTTCCCCACCGGCCTTTGCACGTGCTGCCCTGTGACTAGTCCCTGGGTGTGTCTGGGGCGCCAGGCACGGGAGGACAATGGGGAGACTGCCCAGCAGGGACAACAGACAATTAAGAGTCTCTGACAAACAGGCGGGTGAGGGTGATACTGAGGCCAGAAGGACAAGCTGGGCGGATAGACAGGGCAAAGAGGCCAGACTGGCTGGGAAAGAGACTTAAGGAGGGCCACCCACCCTTAGCTAGCCAGGATCGTCCCAAGGCTGGTCTCGAAATCTGAGGGGCTCCTGGCTGGAGGAGAGTCTGCTTCCTAAGTGTTTGCCCTGGAAGGAGCTGCCTGTTCAAGTCTCTGGGAGAATGGTCATCTCTGGGAGAATGGTCAGGCCCCAGTCATCTGCTTCCAGCTCCCTGGACCCACCTATCCCCCAAGTCCCTCCCTCCCTCTGCTGCTACAAGCTGTCCCAGTTGCCTCCGTGCCATGTGGCCTCGGGTTGGCTTCCCGGCCTCGCTGCTCAGAAAGGAGGTGCTGCCTCCTCCTACCTCCAGGGAAGCGGGGTGCCATGAGGGGCTGGCAAATGAGCCCCCCGCCCCCTCAGCTTCTGGCTCAAGTGACATCTCAGAGAGGCTTCTCTGGACCCCAAACCACAGTACGAACACATTTCCGTGGCGACCCTGGGTGGGGGTTCCCAGACGACAAGTCTTGGCAAGGGCCGGGGAGCTTCATCTTTCTCCCTCCGCACAGCTGGTGGGTTTGAATCGCTGCCCTTGAGGTTTGCAGTCCAACGCTCGGCTAACCGCACAACCAGG